GAAAGGGGGAGGGGGGAGCCCTTACACCTGGCCTAGAAAAAGAATAACAACCTATTTTATATGTGACACTTCAAGAAGCATCTGATTACCCATGGTCACCACTCCACAAATATATTTAGAGTTTAAATTAGTCCCATTATTCATGACACCAAGGGCTACTGGTAACAGAAGGCTGCTGATAACTTGATTGTGTACATTCACATTATATAAACGTAGGCTATTTCTGTAATGATACACAGCTCACATTATATAGACACAGACCGCTTCTGTAAGGACACACAAAAACCTGGTGACAACAGTGACCAGCAGAGAGAGGGCTCACTCGTGGTACATGAAAACTTGAAAGGATTCACCTGCCACCCCTCACTCCGCCTCACAAATGGCTTTGTTGGCGCGCTCTACCTGCTGAAGGCTGTGGAAACCCAGTGGGTGAGGTCTCCTCCCTTTAATCCTCAGTGCCTCCATTCCTTCTTTCCTCCATTCCTTCGATCTTAAAGCCTCCACAGTTCCAGGCTCCAAGCTACAGACGAACCAAACAGTGCCAGACACAGCCCAGAACTCAACAGAAGGGAAACAGGCACAACCAGGAGAGGTGTTTCAAGGTCACATCCGAGGCCACCCCGTCTTCACCTATGCAGAACTCAGCTTGGAAGAGCCAACGTGCTGCCTTCTCATCTTCAGCTGGAAGCACACGGGTCAACCATCACCACGTCAGAATCAACAAGCCAATTCTTTCCTAAGCGAGTCTATCGTGCAAGAATCAACACCAGAGTGATCTAAAGCCAAACGGTATTCTCTCTCCAAAGGCGGCCTTTTGTCCAGGGCCCTTCGGTTGTAATGGACACATTGTTTTTCATCTCAAATCAGGACACTGTATCCTCTCTGTCCTCTAAAATTTGAGAATTCGGAACAGAGAGCTTGTTGCAAGCAAAATAAGCCTGTAAATCTTGTTGGGCTTTTGTGCTTCATTCCAAAGGATCCCCACTCCCACCCCCGAAAAATAAAAATACTAGAAGCAAAAAACAATATGAAAGTCCTAAAAGGGAGGACACTATAAAAATAGAATCCTAGGTCTTTATTCGAATTAACTCCCAGATAGCACAGGAAAACCAGGGCTACACTCCAGAGGGCCATCCCATTTTCTTCGGCACCATGGAGTGAACCGAAGCATTTTGCCTGTCTGTGGGCTCCCTGCGGTCTTCCTCATACATAACTTTATATAGCTTAATGTTCTCCCTACCTTCTCCTCCTCTTCTTCTAGGCAGAAAACTGACCCACAGAGAGTTATTAAGGGCCTTCCACCCTGGGAAACCCAGAGAAGGACCAAACCCAGGGCCTTCGAAGGAGCCACAGGAAGATGAAGCAGTAAATTATAACCCAAGGGAGGGCTGGAACCAGGCTTAGAACTGTTCCCACAGGGTTGGGAATTCTAGGGGCTCTGGAGTATTGGGGAACTGAAGGAGGGTTCTCCAAGCAAAGAGAAGAGTTGAGGAAGATCTTTGGGGAAGAGGGCAAAACAAGCATGATGGCAAAGGGCAGGCAAGAAGTCAGCGTGGCACTGGGGGTGTGGGGGTGAGTGGTGGCGAATGCCTTTAACCCCAGCACTTCTGAGGCAAAGGGGGCAGGCAGATCTCTGAGTTTGACCTGGTCTACAGAGTGAGATGGGCTACACTGAGCATCCCTGGCAGTGGAGGGGGGAGTAGGGGGGTGGAGTGTGAGGGGGGTGGGGACCAAAGGCAGCAGGAGCATCAGTTAAAGTCTTCACCGTAAGTTTCAAGCCACCTTGGACTAAATGTTCAGACTCTTCCCCCAAACAATTTTTAATTAATTAAATATATAGTTTATATATTATTAAATTTAAAATATATAATAGCTTCCTCCTTTAATTTAACTTTTTTTGTAGGGGAACAGTGTCAAGACAGGGTTTCTCTGTGTAGCCCTGGCTGTCCCCAGGCTAACCTCAAGCTCAGAGATCTACCTGCCTCTGCCTCCTGAGTGCTGGAGCATTAATTTGACCTTTTGGAAAAGAAAAAGGGCGGGGGGGGGAGGTTTTCCTTGTAAAATTTGAACTTGTTCAGAAAAGCCCTAATATCTGGTCCATTGGTCTCTACTATTCCAAATGTATTTCTGGGTCAGAACCAGTACTCCATATTCTTCCTAAGATTGCCAGCCTTTAACTGGTCAAAATAGCAAAATCTTTTTATTCCATAAGTTAGGAGGGCAAAAGAAGACACGCTCCAATGTGATATGCTAACACAGGCTCCGTTCTCAACCAAACTTTCCCTAGATAAAGCCTTCCTTCTCTCCTCCCTGAAGCTAGTGGCCTTGCTGCCACCTCTCTGGCTTCTGCTTCCAACCCCAATAAGTGTTCCTACATACCGGTACCCTTACCCTCACCAAGGTCCAAGGACAAGAAGCTGCCCAGCATCTAAGTCTCTCTGTTCCCAACTATCACTCCATCTCCAGAGCCCCACACAGCCGCAGCTGGGTCCGCGCTGGGTCCGCGCTGGGTCCGCGCTGGGTCCGCGCTGGGTCTGGGCTGGTTGAGTGGGTACAGTTTTCCCAGCTTCCACCTGCTCACTTACAGTGATCTCGCATGCCTTCTTCGGTTGTTCTGTTTGTTTTTTATTTTTATTTATTTTTTGTTGTTTTGAGAAACACATTCCCTTCAGACAACTGCTCACTGTAACTGTTTGGGTTTAACAACTGAAGGGAATTTATAAAACTCGGTGCAGGGCAAGAGTTAAATGAGCATGTGGATTAATAGTACAGTTGCAGCCTGATGTATTTGGGGGTGGCAGAGGCACTCCTCATAACTGGATCTGTACCAGGAAAAACAGAGGCACACAGCCACCTTTGCTCCAAAGGTGATTCCAAAGAGACGTGAGTTACTCCAGAGACCCAGAGAAGAACCCCCCCACTCCACTGTTTCCTGTGCACCGGGAAACAGTGAAAGGTCTCCGCACCAGGTTAGTACTTGTGCTAGAAATCCCATACCATGAAGTTCTTCCTTCTGCCTGACTCAACTCTTCAACAATTAAGGTTAATGCTATTTTTTCATTAACCTGGGGCAACAGAGAACAAGGGCAGAGGAAGGCAGCCATAGCAAGGAAGAGCACAGGGAGGGATCCTCGCTGTTCGGTGGGAATTCCTCACTCTGAGTTCAACTGCTGGCTGGATCTGCACCCTTCAATGGAACCAGTCTGGCTGGCCTGGAGACATGAAAGCAAAGGGAGGGTTTTGGAGTCGCTCCCAACAAGAACAGAGTTCATCTCTAGCTTGCTCCAAATCCCTGGGAGATTCTCACACACCAAACCCAAAGAAGAGGGGGAAATAAACAGCACCTGCATGAATATTGCAGCGACTAGAAAGTGCCTCTTTCAACTCAGACTAGGCTGCAGAGGACCTGAGCTCCTGGAAGGACTGCCCCCTCCAGCCTCCTGCTGTCAGCCTGCTGGCTCAAAGCACAGTAGAGCTAGCTAAGCAGGCTTGGGACAGCCATCCTCACCAGCTCTTGCAGCCTTCCAAAAAAACAAAAAAAAAGGAACTTTAGATGGGGTTGAAGAGGGGAACAAGGATCTGGGCCCAGGAGGAACAGGGCAGGTGGATTTCAGTGGCTGAGCTCTGTATCCCACCCCTAAGCAGTTACGGGTCATCTGGTAGACATTCCTGCCCAGGGGCTGCTGGTGGGTGGCTGTTTGCTGCTCCCACCCACCCACCACCACCCCTCTGTCCACATTTTATTTTGGAAGCACTGAATAGTGGCAAGGTCAGTGGTATCATGTAGGCGAGAACTAAAGCACTAGAAGCCCTTCCCCGTGTGACCTTGGATTAGTCACTGCACCTGTCACCGCTTGGATCTCTTCACCCAAACATAACGCCATAGGGTGGCATGTTTTATGAGATGCTTTCTGGCTCCAGGAGTTGATCATTTAACTCTACGTATAGCCTGAAGGAAGACTTTGCTGTGGCCAAAAATCAGTGGGGGAAAAGCAGAACCCAGGCTAATCTTTTAATTAGTACTTTAGTAAGGACCAATCACTCTGGGAAGTGATCATGTTTATCACCTCCACTGGGATCTCCCACCGACCTTCTGGCTTTGCGGATGTCAATCTTAACCGCAGTACTGGGAGTTAGACAATAACACCTGGCAAATTAATTCCGCCAATGCTGATACTAGTGGACAAACTCGGCTTGCCATCCCTAGCATTCAGTGGGGACCGGAAGAGTGAAATGTGTGTTACTTATGACCTAATAAACCCATTGCCTGGACAGAAATTAATCATTAACGAATAATAAGTCCACCAAATTTCTTGCAGTTCTTTCAAATCCCCAAGTGTCACAAGAGATAATTCCTATCCAAAATAAAGTCATCGCCCTGAAGTGGTGGGAAGGAAAGGGGGTGGGACGGTACGCCACACTCCCACGAAAATAAAAATCCAGCTTTATACACACACATGCGCAAACACACGCACACATCTACCGGGTACACAAGGAACAATCGTGGAGCTTTGAGAGTTGCCCACCTTTATTGGGGTTCACGAAGGTAAACGCGGAAAGCCCTCCTCTGCAATTCTGTGTGAGTGCTTTACAACTGCAGGGTTCTCGCCTCCTCCCCGCTGCCAAAGGGTGGAATGCGGGGCGGGGGGGGGTCGCTTTTTATCCAGATGTAAAAATGATGCTGTACCCCTCCAATACCTGCTGGAAACTACACTGCTCTTTCTGCATACAGCCTGGGGTAAAGAGGAGTTGCACCCTTCTATTTACCTGGAATACGTTTGCTAAAATCGACAGGAAGAAGGGAAAGATCTATGCCACCCGAGTGTTGACGGCTGTACTCATGTGATGGGGGGGGGGGGGGAGAGAAAGAAACACATGCCAGCCGGGAAGTCCCCAAGCGGTGCCTGCACCTGGGAAGCGACTGCAAAGGATGGGTGCAGGGGTGAGGAAGTGCTGGGAGAGGAAAGGACTGGAAGGAGGCGGCTTGCAGAAGTGCTCACCTGTCCGTACACCTGGATGGGCTGGGGCTGCAGAGCGGCGCTCCGCCGCGTCCTGAGTGGCTTCCCGGCCGCCGGGCTCGCCCCCCGGGCATCCCCGTAAGTCCCCAACCTCAGTTCGCGCGGGTCGCCCTGCACCACGAAGAATCCTCGGTCCTGGGGCAAGGGTGCGCGGCCACCGTACAATCTCTGCGTCCAGCCCCCGCCGAGAGCCCCGGGGGGCAGCAGCACGACCAGGGCGAATAGGAAAGGGAGTCGCGACTCCCTCCTGCTGCTCCGTGTCGCCATGTTCAGGCGAACGCTCCCGCAGGTGGCGCCGCCGCCAGGAGAGAATGTGCAGCGCGCGCCGGGACAGCGCCGGGCCAGAGCCGGGGCCGCGCGCGCCGCTCCCGGGGCTCCAAGCCGCCCGGGCCGCTCCACTGCGCCCGCCACCGCTGCCACCACCACAGCTGCCGCCGCCGGGTCCCGCTCGCTGGGCGCCGCGCCGTCACGTGTGCGCTCGCAGCGCGTCCCCTTCGCGCACTTTCTTCGCTCGCCACGACTGCGGCCCCGCCCCCTGGGATGGGGAAGTCAAGGCAGGGAGCGCTGGCCTGCGGGCACCGTGGTCCCCTGCGAGCACACGTCGCCCTCCCTGCCGCAGTGAAGAACTGTGTGGACGCCGTGTTCCATTTCCCCGGAGTGAGCTAGCTACTCCACGGATTCCTCGGGGCACCCTGGTCGCCCTAAATCGCCGCCAATCTCCGCCCCCTGTGAAGCCACTCGACCACTTTCCTGGGCCTTGGCTTCATGCCCACCTCCAATGGCGAGTAGCAAACCACAGAATTAGCCCCGAGCACACCACCGACAAGAGTCAGGTTGAACCTGCCTGGTAGTGAAACTTACATGGTTTCAACTATGGCACAGTAATGTACTTGAAGTGGCCGCAGTTCAAACTACCCTTGATCAAGCTAAACTGCCCCTGCATTCAGCAGGGCATAGCAGACAAACATCCTGCACAGAGGCAGTGAAACCCAGACTGCACCTTACCAGGAACTTGCCCCACCTATATAGTTATACAGTATGACCCCTGCACACATGGTTACCTAGGCACAGCTCAGGAGCCCCACCACGGTCTCCTACTTGATTCCCTCAACGTGTCCCAGCACTGAGCCACTCACAGTGGCAAAATGAGTGTCTCTACCAATCCCTTCAGCCAACACCACTAATTGTAAACTCTGTAAAGATTAGACCTGTACAGGAGGGGTGCCCAAGGAGAGGCGGGAGTCCACTTTCAACGTCCCTGAAAATCAGCTCCAAGAGACAGATTTTCTGTAACTGCTTTTATATGTTTTTTCCCCCAGTTAGAGGGAGCAGCTAAGTATTATCCTGTGTTTCATCCTATATCTCTCTGGACTCAGGATCTGGTTGTTAAGAAGACTGAAGACAGAACAGAGTGGCTGAAGCCAGTGGTTTAGAGAAGGGAAGAGTGGTCTCTCAGTTCCCAGCCCTAACTTTCTGCCTCTTCAATGAACTAGTACCTTGGTTCTGTCTCTCGTCCACCTGCCACTCAAGTTCCTTCTAGTTACCTCAGCTAGCTTCTCCCCTGAACCAAGGCCTCATTGGCAACCTGCCAAAACCTGTCATGATAAGAACTGGGTTTGTCCCCAGGTTGAAACTTATTGTCACTGCGATGGTGTCAGAAGGTGGGCACCATTGAGTTGCTTATACCATTGAGAGGGATTTGCGCCTTCCCAGTGGGGTCAGTTTGTTCTCCCATAGCAGTTGGTAGAGAGGCTGAGCTTTAGCTTAAGTCGGTCCTCAAAAAGCAAGGCCAGTCTCTTGTTTGGGCTCTTTAATATGTGCCGGCTAGTCCTGTATCCCACATGAGTTGAAACAGCATAAGGCCCCCACAGAAGCTGAGCAGGCACCAGCACCAAGTTCACAGACTTCCCGGTCTCCATGGCCATGAGCCCAAAACTCAACTGTTTCTATGTCTCTTGGCCTCTGTTGCAGCAACAGAAAAAAAAATGGCAGAGGGCCAACATTTCTTCACCTCTGTAAACCCAGCCTTCTATTGCCTACTCCATCCTGTAGGCAACTTTGAGACCTCCTGGCTCAGTTCTGCAGCCTCCCAACCACCCACTCTCCCTTCTCTCTCCCAGTCAGATGCTGTCTTTCAGTTATCCAACTTGATGTCATTACTAAGCCACCAATTAACCCCACAAAGCCACTGAACAGTTGCCATCTCCCACTGCCCATCAAGACCAGTCCTTCCTACTCAGGATCCCCTTACCAAATACCAATCCACTCAGGGGTCCTCAGCACTTCTGTCCCCTTTGACTCCCAGCAGACAACTAAGGGAACGGCCTGTAGTTAGAACAGCCTGTGTGTGATTTAATTACTCGTTGTTTTCAACCTATATTTAATGAGAACTGTCTTCTATGAGTTAGCATCTCCGCATGAAAACAAAGACAGGTGTCTTTGAAGAGTTATGTGGAAGATGGAGAAGCGGTTTGCTCCTGTGAACTGCTGGCTGGAGCTTCAGGTGGCAATTTACATGGAAGGATTAGTAGGGCAGGACCAGCTCCTTGCTCGTTTTAATTTGGATTTGTAATCTCAATGCTATAAAACTGGCAAGAATGCTCAAACATGGCTAATTTACTCCTCAATCGCCCTCCTCGCTAGTCATTATCTACCTTCCCAGCCATTCTCAGGTGGATAATCAGCACCCTGGGAGACTGCGGACTGCATAACCCAGGGCACAGTGCAAAGAAAGCACACTGAATTTTGAGTCAAAAGTCCAACTTTCTAGCCATGGGAACTGGGCTAAATGCCCTCCCTGGAGCTCCAGCTTTTCTCTTCTCTAAAATAAAGATCTTAATTCTAACCCACCTCTCTAAACAGTTATAGTACTAGATGAGATTGGGTATGTTAAACAGAAAAAAAAAATACTGTGTTCAGGCAGCATTAGAGGCCTGCATCGGGGTTCTGGTATTGCAGTAAGTTTCTATATAGTTTTTGAGTTTTTTAGATTTTTTTTGTCCTAGTCAAAGAGATCCTTCAGTCCTGACCATTCTCTACCTTCAAGACCCTTATAAGAATGTGAGACAGGAACAGTAATAGGGCCAATTCACCCAAAACAGGAGTCAGAGCTGAATTGTGCAATATGAGTGGGGGTGTTTCCTCCTAACTTCAAAAACAGATCTGGGTTGAAAGCAAACGTCCACTTCCGCCATCCGTGCAGCACGATAGATGAGGGAGGCAGTAGTCTAGCCTCCTTGCCATAACCAGGGCCTTGATTTGTCCTCCAACCTTCCAGGACTATGGATGAAGGGGAGGCAGCATTCTAGCCCATCTGCCCTAACCATGACCTTGCTTTGATGCTAAACAGCATCACTACAAACATCAACATGCATGGAGCCATTGAGATGGTGCAGCCGGTAAAGGTGCTTGTAAGCCAAGCCTAGTGACCCGAGTTCAATCCCCAGAAGCCACACAGTAGAAGGAAAGAATCAACTCTTGCAAGTTGTCCTCTGATCTCCACATGAGCTCATGCTTACATGTGAACACACATGTGCACATGCACACACATATCATAAACCTACTGTCAGTATTTTTTTTGCATGTTTATGGCTCTTAGTTTATCAACCATAGGCTTTTGACGGTTATAGGCAAATGGTACCCCATCCTTCTGTCCTAATAAAGGGATCTAAGCTAGAGCTGGGAATAGAACTTGGGGAAAACCATAGCAATCACAAGTGGCACGGTTTTATCCAGATGGAGTAGGAGGTTTGGGGAATGGCCCAGTGTAAGAGTTCTTACTACTCAAGTGTGAGGACAAGAGTTCAGATCCCCAGCACCCACATAAATGCCAGGCAGGCAGGGAAAGCTACCTGTAATCCCAGGAGGCAGAGACAGGGAACACCCAGAAAAAGCTGAATAGCTAGACACGCCCATTGGCAATCTCTGGGTTCAAGTGAGACACCCTGTCTCAGTATAAGGCAGAAAACCATAAAGGTAGATAACCTGTGTCAACCTCTACCCTGTACACACACATACACACACACGTGTGTCTTTTGTGTGCACCCACACGCAAATATACATGCAAACACACGTATACGAAAACACATACCACACATATACACATGAAAAGTAAATAAAATAGCTAGCAAGAACTGGGTATGATGGAACATATCCATAATCCAGCACTGGGGAGACTAATGTCTATAATCCTCTCGCTGGCAAGGCTGAGGCAAGAAGATCATGAGTAGCTTGACATAAGCTTATGAAACACAGCAAGTCATTGTTTCAAAAGAGAAAACAAGGACCCACAAGCTGACTCAGTCAGTAACAGACACGTTGCCACCAAGCCTAATGACCTGAGTTCAATCTCTAGGCCCCCACTGGTGGAGGTAAACAACCAAGCTCCTACAAGTTGTCCTCTGACGTCCACATGGATATAGCTCTTGGACAAAGAGTCTACCTAAAATGCACACGATGCAGGCTCAGGTCCCTGGTGTGAGAAGAAGGGAAGGCAGACAGGAAAGGAGGGATTTTAAAACAGCAATCATGACAGCTGTAAAGAAAAAGATGGAGGTGGGAATCCTGAAAGTACGTTTTGATTCCTTTCTGGTGGCCTTTGTGAATATCCTCTCTCCTCCCTGGACCCCGGTTAGCCAACTTGATCCATCCTTTGCTTTGCAGAGAAGCCTCCCTCTGCACCTAGGTGAGTAGTATCCCTCACTTTACAGCGCCAGTCTCCTCTCCTGCGTGTAGCTTTTGGTATTTTCTCTCTGGTCGTGTTACCTGACTCCATTTATATCTTGAGACTCAAGCAGCAAGAGGCATGACATCAGCCCACATTAATCAGGCCGGTAGTCTGTATCCAGCAAACCCGTGGCATGTGGTAGGAGGGATGCGCTCAGTGACACAGAATCTTCCCTTCTGCCCTATGAAGGTTCAGGTTTCAAGGCCTAAGAAATAAGCTGACAATAGTCAAATTAGCAGGAGAAGAGACGCACAAACTTGCACTGTGCACTGTCCCTGGGAGTCACACAAAACACAAGACTCAAAGAAGGGGCAGAGTTTATGTTTGTAGAGCCTACCCCCTCTGAACTTCAGAGGAGAACAAGGGCCTGTAGACTCTGGGAGGTGATGCCCAAGGTGAAAGAGGTGTGGAGGAAGCAGACAACAGTGGAGCCCTAGCTAGCAATTCTCAGAACTGATGCAATGGACTGAGGGACCATTCTTGGGTGTTTATTGCTTGGTGAGACTCCAGCAAGGGTGCTGAAGACAATTAGTTGCTTTCTTATTGAGTAACTTCCCTTGGCCAGATAAGGGAACTTCACTGAAACTTCCTTTCTAGTTTTGTGTAAATAAAGTGGGGGCTAGGGGACAGAAGTCAGCAAGACCTCGGTTCTCAGGCTGCTTCTGGGGCCTTTTCACCCTTCCAATCCAAAGTAGTCAGGTCGCCATATTGAGGGTTTCCTTTCCTGTTCTCCAACAGACCCAGGCAAAAGAATGAGAGCAGAAATGACACCACCTCTAGCGCTGGTGGTGATGGCGGGTTATGTGACCACTGTTGCTGGGCTTGATGGCCCATGCCTGTAATCCCAGCACCTTTGCTTCAGACGCAAGCCTGAGCTACATAGGGAGACCCTGTCTCAAACCAAGCAAGCAAAATTAAACAAACAAGCAAACACATAAAGAGGCAAAGCCCAGGATATTCGACAAAGCTTAGGATGTGGAAACATTTAGAATACAGTGAGCATCTGCCGTTCTCACCTTTGAATACATTAAGTTCATAAAGAGGCTTCTGGAAATAGAGGGAACTCACCTTGGCATAGGGATAGTTCATATTGGCATAAGGGTG